TACCTCACCCGGCACGCGGTACCGAAAATATATCCAAATATATTTCACCAATCCAATTCCAATAATGATATGTAATTAAATGAAAAAGAAAGTTAACGCCTTCAAGGTGAAAGTAAAAGCATCCTCAGTCTGCTCACCTTTCACACATTTGCCCGAATATTTACATAAATGAATGTATAAATCAAGCACACACCTTTTTCGTTGCCGTTAAAAATAAAAAAGAAACGAAAATGTTTTGCAAAGCGTCTTGCTTTCATTTGCGCTCCGTTTAATGCGCGTACTATGTGGTCCTACCTCAACTATTCGGCTTTCAAAGCTTGCCAAATCGCCTATTCTCGGTTGAATTGATTTACTTTGTGTTGCAAATAGATAAATATGTAAGTATTTGTGTAAAAATCTGTAACTAAAGCAATAAATCATGTGATGCGTTTGGGGAAATTGCAGCCAAGTCATTTGTGTTGCTAATCCCCATTTAGAGTATGGATATATTTGTATTCCAAATTTACATACATAGTAATATATAATTAATGGTTTTATAGTCATTTAGTTTATATGTTGTATGCATATATATATATAGATTTTTGTATTCTCAAAATTGTATTAAGGCAATAAAGGATGTCTTTTTTTAGAGTTAGTCAAATCTTAGTTAAAATAATACATTGAAAAATTAAAGAAATATTAAATATATTGGCTTTATTATTTAGTATTTTGGGCACTACATTTTCTGTTGGTCCAAATTTGCACCACTTTTTCCAGAACAGCCAGCCTTATGAGAATATTGGCTTTCAAATAGGCAATCGTAGTTGGTTTTTCAGCAGAGATCACTCCCTTGAAATAATTAAAAACAAAAGTAGTTTAACGAAGTAAAATGTATTTATAGCTAACAAGTTGAAAAATTCCTTCGAGTTGCCACTCAAAAACATTTTCTTGCTCTTTAAGTGTTTTTTATGGCCTAGGTGACCATTCGTCAGAACCATTTCTTGACACGATTCGGCCACTGAGCCTTTTGGCTAGCAACACTATTCTACTGGAACTATTTGGTATTTTGACGGTTGACAATGATCAAAACTTCGGGAAATATTTGCTCAACCCGCTTAATAATCACATTAATATTAGTTCTACATATATACATAGTCTTAGAAAAGTATAAACCTTTAGTATGCATGTCAGCCTCTAAAGCCTTTCCATGATTATTCTCACTCCAACTTTTAAGCGGTTAAATACATGCGGCGATGAAAATTTCTCTGAAACGGCTGAACAAATCGACTTGAAATTTTTCACACTCCTTTCCTAAATATAATTGTCAGATAATTTTTTGCAAAGCCCCATTTTGTTAAAAATCAAAATTTTGCCAAGTCCTTTGTTCATTATCGGTATTCATCTATTAAAATAATTGTATATGTTTAATTTTTGGACTGGAGATAATTTTGAGCTGACAAATCTTCTTCTATTTATTAAAAAAACTAATTAATTTTAAACTAAACAAGAAAAAATGTTAACTTTGCTTGCACCGAAGCTTTAAAGCCTTCACATATACAAAAGTTTCCTTACAAGAACTTATTTCCGATCGTTCAATTTGTTGGCAGCTATATGTTAAAGTGATCCGATCTGAACACATTCTACGAAGATTACACTATTGCTTTAGACAATAACCCGTGCCAAATTTCGTGAAGATACCTCATCAAATGAAACAGTTTTTCAAACAAGAGTTTTATTTTGAAAGATCAGTTTTTATGGCAGCTATAACAGAGAGTCCCTCGATATCGGCAGCTCTGACGTATGAACAGCTTCTTGGGAAGAAAATGACGTGTGCAAATTTCTGATCGATATCGTGAACTGAGGGACTAGTTCGCATATATACAGAAAGACGGACATGGCTAAGTCGACTCAGCTTATCATGCTGATCATTTACATATACACATATATGTTTTATACAAACTTCCGTGTTGAACTTAATATAATATGTATACATACTCTGCTCAGGGTATAAGAAAATAATTTTAAACTTCTTCTGGCGTAAGTCTTCTCATGGTAATTCGTCAAATTATATTGAACAGAATTATCAAACGTATGTGTTTGCTTTGACAGCTGGGTTCGACAGCTATTCCTCTAGGACATTATATAACTTTAAAAATACACACTATATTATTTATTATAATATAGTTCCAAAATTTATAAAGTAAAACTAAATAATAGTAATAATAAGTAATGAAATATATTTATAATTTTTTTTTTGTATTTTTGGTAATAATTTAATTTCCAAATTAATTCCATTTAAATTTATTGAAAAAAAATTTACGCAAACATTCCACAAAAGTGCAATAACTTTATTTGACAACTATTGCGTTCGACGGCCATCGATTTCTTTAACCTAATCTCCATTTCTGTCTAATAATTATAATGACGCGGCATGTTTGTCTAAACGTTTCCATTTGCCATTTGATGTTCATGCTCATGTTTGCACATGTTTTTAACCATTTTTTGCTAACATGCAATTAATTTTGTTTGCTGTCAGCAAAAATATGACAACACAAAAAGCAACAACTACACAAAAATCTCAAAAAAAAAAACCGAAAAATTCATCAAATACATATATTAAATATCTGCACAAATATATTGTATAACTATAGTCAATATACAACAACAGCAGCAATATGTAATTTTGTTGCTAGGTACAAGCAAACGGCACTTTGTTGGCATGGAGGAATAAAAGAGGCCTGTCCGCGTGTAGAATTAATATGTTCATGTCACGAAAAAAATTAGTGAACACATGACTACTTGACACTCGCATGGGTGGACAAGCACGCACACAAACAACCACACGTACATATTATATCTACAAAAGCGAACAAAAACACAAAAATATTTGGTTGTCTAACACATGCAGAAGTAAAAAATTAATGATTTTCTAAAAAATTTTTCTGATATTTGGAATAAATTCGTTTTGGTGCAAATATTCAAATTTAAATATTTGCTTTAGAAAAATTGAAAAAATATATTTTGAAAAAAAAAACAAAAAATTGAAAAAAAAATTTTGGCAAATATTTAATATTTTTAAAAATTTTGGGTAATTTATTTTGAAAAAAAATAAAAAATTGGTTTAAATTTATTATATATTTAAAAAATTTTAAAAATAAATTTTGAAAACAAAAATTAATTTTGACACGGAAAATATTTTAAATGTCAAAATTAATGTCCTCGACAAAAATAAAATTGAAATATATGAAAATATTTAAATAAATAGATTTAAATTTTTTTTTTTTATGTGAAAATAATTCTTTGTCATCAGCATTGCTGATGTTCTAAAGTTTTGTTAGATTATGGAAATGAGAATTTTAAAAAATTAATTTTCATTACAAACTAAACACTTCCTTTTAAAAGTGTTTTATTTTTAAATAAATTTGATTAAAATTAAATTAAATAGTTCACGAATGAATACAATTTTTCTGACTTAGTAAAATATTTGAAAAAGTTATTTTTTAAAATTAAATTTAGAAGAAAAGATTTTTTTAATTTTTTATAACAATAAAATTAGTTATTTAAGAGTATTTAACGCAGAAAAAATTTATAATTAAGAGCAATAGTTTTTGAGAACGTTTCGAAATGATAGTTAAAAAATATTATTTTGGTTTCGATTATTTTTTATAATATTTTGTATTATAACTTTAACGATATTTGGTTTTGTAAATTTAACAATTTAAAAGTTGTACTGTTTTTTGCAAATATTTTTGGTTATCTAATTTTTTTTTAAATATTTTGATAACTAAATTTGTGCTTATTGTAATTTGTCTTACCAAAAATTTTTTTTGCCTCTAAAAATTTTGGTTCTAAACTTGAATTTGTAAAAATTCCAGCATTGAAATTCTGTTTTTTGTTTTTACAAGAAAAAATTTTACCAACCCGCATTTCTCGATTATTTTCCAAAACATGGGTTTTCGAAAAGAGTTGCTTAAATATCGAAAGTGAGAAAATAACCGAATAAGTTTCAGCAGGTTTATTATTAGTACATAACCTCAAAACTGGCTATTGTGAATCTTACACCTTTGAGCATCGATAGATTGTCTTTAAGGTCTCTTTTTAAGTATAATATTTTTAGTTTTATATATATAATTTTGATCGAGTTTCGCACTCAGGTCTAGCAGAATAGTAGTCACGCACACAACACAAATATTTTATTAAAGCGCCTAGTATTTTTGGCCTGATTCGAGGCTAATGTACATATAATAATTAGAAATAATAAAAATAAATATCTTTGTACGTACTCATATATGACCGGTGTCAGTCAGTCTCGCATTGAGCACTATAAAAATGACAGACAGCCTTCATTGGAAGTTGACCAGCGTAAAAATCGAGCCAATGCGCGTTTTCAGTAATTACTTTTGCTCTGGATGTACAATAGATGCGGGCGTGCACATACCTTGTGTGCGTGTGTGTGTGTCTGCAAGTATGTGTATGTACAGTTATGATGCCTCTAATTTATTTACGTTCTGAATGTGCCAATTGTTTTGTGTTGTTTTTTGCCTTTTGTTTTTATTTTTGTAATTTTTGTTGTTTTTTTGTTTTTTTTTTTTGTAAATTTCCCTTTGTACTCGGTGAGTTGAAACAGTTCAGCGAACAGCTGTACGCCACTACGTGTACTTTGTGGTCAAATAACCGACCGCCGCGCTGACTGGTCGCTCTCACGCTAGTCTACTTGTTGCTAAGCGGCAAAGCAGCGCAACTTTTTATTTTTTTTTTTTGCTCCACCAACACAAAATCGCGTGCAGTTATCCCCTTTTGTGTTTGAGTTTTAATTTTTTACGTTTTTTATTGTTGTTGTTTTTATTTTGTTGCCTTAGTTGCGATTGCTTTGTTCTCATTTTTATGGTTAACTAATTTCGTGTTTACAATTTAGCTGTCCATTATTAATCATAACTGAAATAGGTTTATAATTAATTTTAAAAATTTATTCAAAAATTTATGCATAATTTCTAAAAATTTATTTTTTACTCTCCTTGCAGAAAACCGGCGTGAACGTCGTCTCTCTTATGTGATAATTTGCAAGTCTGCTGTTGATGTTTTGTGAGATCCCCACTAACTATCACTTTTCGAGTGTGTGTGTATGCATTTTCTAACAATTAAATGTCGAAAAAACAACATATTTTCAATCAAATTACTTGAATAATTAATATGAGCAATATTTGGGTAGAAAATTCAAACTAATTAATTGATTAAACAATGAAAAGCGCAAATTGAACGCGTTAATAAATTTGAAAATGTGTGTAAAAATAAAATAAAATACTAAAAATTGTTTAAATATAAGAATACTGCTAAAAATATATCAGCAAACGCAAACGCTGAATGTTTCTTAAAAAAAAAAAAATATGTAGAAAATATTTCCTATTCAATTTTACTGCGCCAAAAAAGGCATATAAAACAAATAAAAAAGTAACTAAAAATTTATTGGTGTAAAAAAGCTAAAACTAATTACTTTGCGTAGTGTTTAAAAGAAAATTATGCGAGAAAAATGTAATGATTTGAAGGCGTATTTGTGTACCAACTGCACTGCTACAGCGGTAAAATTTATAAGGTGAGTAAAGTTTGCTAAATTTTTTGTTGATATAAAAGCGAAACCGAAAACTTACAGTCAAAACTGCTTAAACAACTATTTTTAACTAACAAAATAATAAAGCGGTCCCAGAGTTCGCACATAGTTTAATGGTTTCTTAGCCTGAACTCGAACCAACTATCACTTCTGTGAAAGGTTATGTACAATTTTTCTAGTCCGACTACCTCTTTTAAGTTAAGCAGAGTAATTTTGATATCCCTTTTTACCACCCGAAGTTGTCGCAAAATAATTTTTAGTGTACATTGAAAGTTTGGAAAGCAGCAAGAACTATTAACTTATTAGATCGGGGCTTTAGCTATTATTTTATGACTATAAACAGTAGAGTAAACACGCGGCAGATAAAGTACAGTAAAGAAAGTACAATCAGAAAACTATAGGAACAAGTCCATCAATTAAGCTCGATGGCCACTTAATGACTTCAAAATTTGAAGTGAGTATCAAGATTAAGCAACTAGGAAAGGCAGTTACTTGAAGCATTCAATTGAAGTTCGGTTAGGTTAGATGGCTGATCCTCAAGATGGCGGGGGATCTTACTTCGACTGCTAAATATAATTTTTTGTGAAGTTAGAAAAGAACTCCTGCTGTTGAATTTTTACTCGCGACAAAGTGCCTTGAACCAATCACAAATCTGCTTATGTAGTTTATATCTTCTTGCACCATTTCACCTGGATGTCTAAAAGTCTCGAATCTGAGTTATTTTAGCCTTAATCTAATAGTTGTCGAACATTCAAGAAGGAAGTCTTCAGATCAATCTATCTCATACACTTCCATGCAGCATGTGCAATTGGTATTTGTTAAAATTTTAAATCTTATCGCATGAATTCTGATCGGATAGTGTCCAATTAGAACTCCTATAGCTATTGAAAGGTGAAAATTGCTGAGAACGAGGAGCTCACTAGATCTCTTACGATTTACTCTAGATCACAAATCCTTTCTGGTATCTGACCAAGGTTTACCGAGCTTGCCAGAGGCCTAACTATTCCGTAGTGAGTTGTAGAAAGTCAGTGGAACTCCTATCTGTTCCTGTTCTGCTGCTAATCAGACTGAAGTACCTTACTTGGCAAGCTCATCAGCCAAACAGTTAACTGCAATCAAAATCAGTGTAATCTCGAAGTAACTCGAAAGAAGTCGAAACATACCTTCACTGGTCTCGAGCGTACGGTAAGCGAGAAGTTGTGGTTAGAAACACAAATTCTGGTTAAAGATAAAGTTTCTTCTTTAGGTCTGAACGCCATCGATTTTGTCTGTGCTCAGACCTAAGAAATAAATCGTCGAGACTAAGGACAATTTTGGAACCATATACCAAACGTAGTACGAATATGATACCGAAAAGTTGGAAGATCGCAATAATAGGCGTATCGTTTTCAAAGGTTTTTTTGTTGAATTCGTTACGAAATTCACCTCTTCATATCGAAATTTACCACTTAATAACGAATTCCACCACTTTCAATGCTGTATTCACCATATAGGGCTTCACACTTAAGTATATAAACCTACACACATTCACACAGAGATCGAATACTTACATACTCGTACATATACTTGTATACTCGTCTAAGCGCTCCCTGGTGCCCATTTGCCACGCGTTCGGCATAAAATTTCTGAACTGCTCGTAATCTGTCAATTTTACGGTATTAGAAAATCAATTAAATTCTAATTTTCAAGCATAAAATGATTTCAACTCGCTAATAATAACACACGAATGACAAACAAAAACCAACAAAAACAAAACTCAAGCAGAAACAACAACAATTCGTAAATGCAACGAATACAATTCATTATGAATTAAGAGCCATCAAGTATATTAAAAACAAATAAATGTTCGCCATATTAGTATGTTTATGTCGACAAACGTTGTTAATGCGAAAAATTTTAAGCAGCTGAAATTAGCGAAAATACATTGGCGATAACAATTTCAAAATACAAAATTTATTAATAATCATTTGCATATTTCCGTTTATGGTCGCTACTGCTGTACCGAGTCATATTTGCATATGTGTGTGTGCTTGTTATATTGTTTGTCACTGCATTTTATGCTTTTTCGGTTGCCAAAATATTTATTAGTGTATTTTAACTGTAAATTGCGCTTATGTGTGATACACATAAAATTTGTTAAAATAATCAAATAAATCGTTAAACTGATTTTAGTTGCATAATTGTATACCATAAACAATAAGTAGCGTTCTGATATAATGATACCACCAAAGATAATTAACGATAAATAATATTTAACTAATTTATGCATAAGTTTGGTGAGATTTCTGCATAATATTCGATTGTATTATACAGTAAATGAGAAAATCAATGGGAAAGAAAAATGGAAAACATATAAAACATTTTATATATGTATATATAATATATTTATACATACTTGTATATAAAGTTAAGACGCCTCTAGAATTTAATCCATATATCTTAAAGGTAAACCTAACCACCACAAGACACTTTTGACTGCTGTCAGACAACTGGTTCGTGGGATATATTTTTCTTTCGGTCAGTTTGTAAGGCAGCTATATGCTATAATGATTTCATCTGAACACTATGTTTAAGTATTGTAGCGCTGACAACGTTTATAATTTATACGTATTTTCGTATAGAAATTTTTTGAAATAATAATGTTCATCATAAAAGAACCTGATTTTGAAATGTAAGTTTGCATGGTTGCTATATGCTATAGTGGACCGATCTAAATATTTTTTTTTTTTTAGATTATAGCATTGATTTTTAAAATACAGCTTGTCAAATTTCGTGAAGATATCTTGTCTAATAAAAAAGTTTTCCATACAAGCACTTGATTCCGATCGTTCAGTTTATATGCCAGCTATATGCTTTAGTGGTTCGATATCGGCAGTTCCGACAAATGAAAAGCTTCTTGGGCAGAAAAGGATGCGTGCGAAATTTCAGATGGATTAATTTCAGATCGATATCTCAAAACCCGGGGACTAGCTCGCGTATATACAAACGAACATGGCTAAATCGAGTCAGCTCGTTGCTGTCTGACGTTTCCTCCAGGGTGTTACAAATGTCCTAGCGAACTTAATATACACTATTAAGGGTATAAAAAGAGATAAATTAGGGTTTCGTGAAATGTACAGTGTACATCGGGATTCAATATGAGCAAAATACCAAATATTAAAATAAAATGAATTTTGGTATTTTTAAAATTAGGTTGATCGAAAGAGTTGACATATGATTTATGAACTTTTAAATATGCGAAAGCTGGCAAAATTTAATGAATTTTGCTTCGAATTAGTTACGAATTTAACGTATTCTTCGAATCTTACCTTTATTGAGCTGTTTATGTTCTCAGGCTTTAAGAAAGAAATATCTTTAAAAAAAAATCGCCGAGACACAGCAATATTTTGCGATCATATACCAAAAATACTACGAATATATGCGTGATCGTAAAGTTGAAAGTTCGACATAGTACCACTCAACCCTTAAAGGTATCTTTGTTGTTTAATAAAGTCGAGTTTGCGAAAAACTTTACTTTTCTTGGAATGATACGAACTTTTCAAACTCTCTGATATATGGTAATATTCTCAAAATTTTCAAAAAATTTATAACTGTAAAAATCACTACTATATATAGCCCGATATATTTAGATAAACTTATGAGTTTAATATCTCTTCAAATCAGACTTGTCTCTCAAAATCTAACACCCACTGTATTTTATAACTTTCTCAAGCGCCACTTGGAAATTTAATGATTCTAAATAAATTACAAAAAAGTTCCACACTGACACAATCTAAAAGTGTTAATTTGAGTAGAATGCACCTGGCTGCAATTCTTAACCGGTTTATACATGTATATTTTTATATAATTACTCACATATATACCGGACAAACAGCTTTCATATGTTTCTTTTTTAGATGTTTAGCTATTGCACAGCAACAAAAAGACTCACTTATATCAGCACTTCCGTAATTTGCATTGGTGGATGGTATCTCATAAATGATTAATTATGTGAAAATCGCATGTAAAAGTAGCGATTAATTAATAAACCCAGTGAAATAAGCATAAACAAACACATACAAATTTAGACTCATATCTGTAGCGCTCTATATATGTATATTTCGCCTTCTCGAAACGAAGAGTGCGGCAGCGTAATTTATTACTGCATTGTTTGGCGGTTTTCCTAAAACAGCAGGTGTTAATCACTCTGTGAAATACATTTCTTCTAAATTTAGCGAATCAAATGTTAAGTGAAAAATATAAGTACGTTATGTAAACATCGAAAGCAGTGGTGGCAGAACAAAAAGGTTGAAGTTTGAGGGTGAAAATGTCTTAAAAGCAAATATTCATTACTATTGAATAAGAAGAAACTATATACTTTATATAATGTTTTTCGCAAAAAACAGGGATTACCCTTAAATACTAGATTTGCATCTGTAAGTTAAATGCGGAAATTAAATTCTTGATATATTTTAATATATTTTGTTGTAACACACAGCAATCGACTCACCCCTCTTAAGGTTTTGGTTCGCTGCCTTTGGGTTTAAGCGAAAGTATATTGAGAATATATTCATTTCCCAGCAAGCCAACTATCGGTTAAGTCACAAATAGTTATCCGACAGCACTACGAGATATACATTGCTATTCTATGAGTTCCTTAAGACCGAATTGACAAAACTAACCTAAACTCTTGGGTAAGTCTGATCATTCATCATGCTTCCCTTTCTTCGACATAGGGCTAATGAGTTGCAATGTGCATTTGTATTAGTTTCCACGCTAATTTTTCAATGTATTCGAGTTGCGGTAGTCGTAATGCTTAGGGTATTTTTTTTGTACTTTTCAGCTGCAAAAAATCAGCAGGTACATTTTTGAAGACCTTTATTCATACTTACCTCAATTTTGCATAAATTTTTTAAATTATTTCCTTTCTAAACTTAATTAACTTTCAAAATGTTTTGAAATTCGGGTTTTCTTTCTCTTTGGTTTTTCTAAAAATATAAACTGTA